TCGCTTCATAATACTCGGCTTCGGAAAGTAAAAATTTCAATAAAAAGCGCTCGCATTTCTCGTTAAATCGACAGGAAAACGCATCAGATTACGGGAATTTCAATGTAAAACAAAAACACTTTTCAATTAAGTAGTTTTTGACAAGAAAACACTTTTCCTGCAGTGCAAATTTTCCGCATAAGTCGCTCCATACCTGGGCGATTTCGAAAATTAAAACTTCATGAGAAAGCGCAAAAATTTTTCAAAAAATTGCCATTTTTCGAATTTAAATCGGTTAAAATCTCTGCAGGATTTGCGCGTTGGAAGGCCCAGCAAAATCCTGCGGAGACAAACATTTATCCAATGGATTTATGAGCCCAAAAACCAAATTCAAAAAAATTCCTGCAGGAAAATGTTGACGCTCAACTCTCTTACTACCGGGACGATTTGGAAAAGAAAAAGTCAATGGAAAGCGCCCACTTTACTCAAATAAACAAGGTTTTTTGAAAAAAAAACTCCTGCTGGGGAAATTTTGAAACACGACTGGCTTACTACCAGGGCGATTTGGAAAGGAAAAACGTCGGTGGAAAGCGCCCAATTTACTCTAACAAACAGTGTTTTCCGAATTAGAATCGGTTGAAAAACCAGCAGGATACGAGGGTTTGAATGTCGAGGGAAATCCTGCTGCGCCATCTATTTTTGAATCATCATAATTTGGATGAAGTCTGAACACATTTAGGCTCAAAACGCAATAAAAAAAAATAACTATATTCCTGCAGAGGTATTTTGGCGCCCAACTCTCTTACTACCGGGGCGATTCGCAAAATAAAAACCGTATTAGAAAGCGCGGAAGTTTCTCTAAAAACTGCCGATTTCAATTTTTAAATCGGCTGAAAAATCTGCAGGAAATGAGGGTTTGAAGGAAATCCTGCTGGTCCATAAATTTTGCACCTTCCCAATTTATGTTAATTCAATTAAAACGCATTTAAGAACCTAATAACGCAATGGTGAAAAAAATCCTGCAGAAAAAATTTGTCACCGAATACCCTTATTACGGGGGCGATTTCAAAAATTCAAACTACATCCGAAAGAGCGCAAGTATCTCTAGAAATGAATTTTCATGAAAAAAATTGCCGCCAAAAGTTTCAGCTAGCAGGAAATTTTCTTTTGCTCGTAGCTCATTTGCCGATGACGCAAAAGGAAAAAACAACAGGACGAGATAAACAGAATCCAATTTGCCACATTTTGGCTTTTGGTTCGTCAAAATCGTCCGAGGAACCTCAAAGTTGTACGTTTCTTGAATAGTAGAAGTTGCAAATTACGAGGGTTACAAAAAAATTCCTGATTTTGCAAATCGCCACATTTTAGACGAAATCCCCACGTCACTTTCACACCGAAAATTCTTGTTGGGAAAAAACAAATTTTCCATTAATTCTGAATACATTTAAACGGTTAAGACGTCTCTCTCAATACCGGCACAATTTGGCAAGGAAAACCTGCATGGGAAAGCGCGAAAGCTGCTCGACTGAAAATCCTGCAGGATATGAGGGATGTAAAGCAAAATCCTGCTAGTCCAAATATTCTTCCAAGCGTCCAAACGCATTGGAGAATGGAAAAACGCAGTTGGAAAAAATTCCTGCAGGGAAAATTTGACGCATAACTCTCTTATTACAGGGGCGATTTGAAAAATTCAAAGTGGACTGGAAAGCGCAGAAGTTTCTCTACAAATTACCAATTTGTAACTTTAAATCTTAAAAATGAAAACTTTAAACTTAAAAAATTAAACTTTAAATTTAAAACTCCCCAAAAAATCACATATTAGAAAATGTGAATCGGTTGAAAAACCTGCAGGATTTGAAGGTTTAAAGTAAAATCCTGCTGGACCATATATTGTAAAACCTTCACAAATTAGGTTCACTATTCTGAACACAATCGAAGGCTTAACATCCAATGTTGGGAAAAAATTCCTGCAGAAAAAAATTTACGCTCAACTAACTCCTCCAATCGGGGAGTTTGTAAAACTTTTTTTCTGATTCTTCTCAATTCCAGATTAGTTCTAAACGCGTTTAAGGGCCAATAAACGCCATTTTGAAGTAAGAAACCCTAATCCCGCAGGAAAAATTTTAGGCGTTATTACCGGGGCTATTTGGAAAATAAAAATGTCAATAGAAAGCCCCCAGTTCACTCTCACAAACAGCGTTTACCGAATTGAAATCGTTCAAAAAACCTGCAGGAAACGAAGGTTTGAAAGTAGAGT